ATAAGTTTTTTCTTGCTTAATAAGATTTTTAAAATATATTGCATCAATTTTTATAATATCGTAATTCATAAAAAAATTGGTTGATGAATATAATACTATTTTATTTGATATCAATTATAAGTTGTTAAAATTATGAAGCATATACTATTACTGATCAATTTTTTGTTGCAAAATACAAATCTTGTTAATTACAATATAAGTTATATCATATTTTCCATATATGGCTTGAAACTTTATTAAAAAAAAATTCTAAAATATCCAATATTAGAATACGTTATTCAAAAAAAGATAGAAATCATAAAAAAACATAATTTAAAGTAAGTGTTTTACTAAACCTTACTTGTAATCTTGAAGTTAAATAGCTTTGAGGTTGAAGTTCAATCACTAATTGTACATGCTTGATGAATCTTCAAAATTTAGATTTTGTACCATCAAACTTCTCAAGCAAGGCAATTTTTTTTCTCTAATGCTTGAAAAATATTCTATTATAGAAAATATAATAAAATTTAGTATAGATATTGAAGAAATAATAATCATCTTTATGTCTTTACTTCTTACCAATTTTGATACTCTTTTTGGTGATAAATTGAATTAATACATTGCAAGCATTAATTCCTCATTTGCTCTTGTATTTGTGCCATTATACATTTCATTTTAACATGCTTTATAATAATACAACAAAAAAAAGATATATAATGTTACCTATGACAAATAGAAAAAAAGATTGAAGAATAAAGAAACTTTTAAAAATAATATTAATATAGAAGTAGATAATCTAAAATTTTTATTTTCCTTATGTCTTATCGAAAAAAAGAATAATCTATTTTTAATGAAGAATAGATAAAGCTCTAATATTATATGTATATTATTGTCAATTTGTCAATAACAATAATTTTAAGAATGTAAATAACCAAGTGAAATGTTTTTTAAATAAAAATAATAAAATAATAATAATAATAATAATAATAATAATAATAATAATAATAATATTCAAGAAGAAAGTAAAATGGCTATTGATAAAGATTGAGAATTTAAAAACCCTTGAAACTAGATTAGAAGTAAAAAAAATGAATTGATAAAAGTGAAAAGGCCTTCATTTTTTTCAATATATACTATTTAACTAAGAGCTATATAGAGATATTCTAAAGGACTTCTAACACATGTCCAACTTGTAGAACACATATCTAATTTGCAAGACAAGTTTTTTATATATGTGTCACATATTCAACTTGTATTACAAATATCAAGGACATGAATTATAAAGAATCAAATGATCAATATACTCATGTGTTACTAAAAAAGAATAGATAATCATTCAAAGATGGTATAGTATTAAACTAAAATAGCTATTACCTAAGACAAAAAAACTAAATATTTATTGAAATAACACTAAGGACAGAATGATATTGATAAGAATAAAAAAGGCTTTATTCTTGCCTCTATATATACTATATAATTAGGAGCCATGTTGTAACATTTTATGGAATTTCTAACATACATCCAATTTGCAAGATATATATTTAGCTTTTAAGATAAGTTTCCTACATATATGCTATATGACCAACTTATATCACAAATTACCAACATGTACAATACATAGCCAACTTTTTGACTAAGTTTTCAACCTATCAATTAAGTACGAATACATATATAGGTAAATTTTCATTTACAAAGCTTCTAAGAAGCTATTCTATAAGTTATTATTAAATCTTTCTACATTTAATTTTTATCTAATACTTTTTTATCTAAATAATTATATATATTTGTAACAACAAGTGACAAATATGTGGAATAAATGGCTAACTTGTTGGATAATTTTTTAACCTATGAATTACTTACAAATACATATAAAGATAAATCTATATGTAATAAGTTTTTTTATATAATTTTATTAAAATTACTTATTTTTATTTACTTCTATTTAGTCATATAATTTAAATAATTACTAAAATAAATATGTATGTTTTTTATTGTGTACTAATATGGCCATTAGATAAAAGAATAAAAGAAATATTTTACTATAAAAGAGCTTAAATGAAAATATTTTAATAAATTATCTCTAAAATATAGATAATATAAAAGAATATAGTAAAAATTAGTAAGTGATAATATTATTTTTTTATAGAAGAGACTTATATTCACTTTTTAGGAGCATAAATGAATCAAATCAAATTAAATAAGATATATAATTAATATAAGTATCTTTAGGAAGAAATTGAGAATATATTTTTAAAAAAATTATCTCAAAATACCAAGAATTGATATCCAAAGAGGACCAATTGTGAATCAAGCTTGAAATCAGACCTTGAGGTACAAAACCACATACCTGTAGTGATTCTAGAGTTCTTTTGTCAATTGGAGAATGGAGTTTGAAAACAAACTTGTGGAAGAATTTTTGAGAGTTGATTTCATATGGTTTGAGGGTATATTGAGGTTTTGAGAGCTTTTCAAGTAAGAAATTTATTTTGTGGATTTGGATTTTAAAAAATTAAAGGAAGTTCACAAGTTTAATGATTTTGTGAATGTCATAGCATATTTATAAGTAAAAACTTGTCAGTTGGTCCATATGCTTCTTATAAATGTGTAAAAAAATTTACTTTAACTAAGCAATTAGATTGAAGGTTATGAGAATTTTTATGGATTAAGGTCTCAGATATTTAAAATTTAGGATTAGTGAGGATTTTTGAAATCTTACAACATCCATTAGTTTTATTGAAGCAAAAATTGGTGAAAGCAATTTAGACTTCAATATCTATATACTAGCCAAATTGTGGAGCAATTAAATAGTTCAACAAGGAAAAAACTTTATAGAGAGATCAACATTCAAATTGAAGAAAGAGGGCGGCCAACATCTTAAAGGTTTTGAGAGCTTTCTTTCAATTGATAAGTTCGATTCTTCTCAAATTTTGTATACTTATAAATTTCTTGTAGATTAAATTTTCGATGAAATTTTAGTCAAGATCAATAGTTCAATTAATATTTATTGAAGTTTCAAAATAACTATAATAATTAATTAAAATTTATTTAAGTTTTGATCAAGATTTAGAATTTCATTAAGATTTGGTTAGGATTTGATAATAATATGGTCTAAGATTTGGTAAAAATTTAATATTTAATTAAAATTTGACTAAGATTTAATTAGGATTTAGTTAAGATTTAAGATTTAATTAGAATTTTATGAGGATTTTTTAAGATTTGATTAGGATTTTTTAGGAATTATTGAGAATTATATTAGGATTTAATTAGGATTTCTATTTTTAATATTTTTTTAAGATTTCTTTGATAATTTTTTAGGATTTTTTTATTATATATATTCTTTTAAGATTATTTTATGATTTTTTTATGGCATTTTTGTAAGTTCTTTGAAACTTCTTTTGAAATTTTATTAATGATTAATTAGCATAATTATAATTTAATTAATTTTTTTTAGGATTCTATTAGAGTTGTTAGAATCTTCTTGCTACAAGTTCCATTTTACCTTCTACAGCCAAGTGTTCAATGCATTCTCAAGCAAACTTCACAAAATACGACATTGTGATAATATGAGAGATTTTCAATGAATTCTTTGTCTCTTTTTCTTTTCTTTAAACCAAAAAATGAATGCATTTTGAATTTATTTCTAAGTAATAAATTATCTAATTGAATATTAAGGATAATACTTGATTTTTTTATTTATTTTATAATGTAATTAGAAAGAGCCAACTATTCATTTTTTGTTCATTTTTTTGGCTTAATAGATATTATTAATTTCTTATATATAGATGTTTGGATCACCTTTGTCTTTAAACTAAGATAAAAACAACTTTTGTATATTTAATTGTAAGTATTTTGTTTATTGACGTATATTGTTGTAAAAATATAAGAGTACTTGCATGTAAAGTTGTGAAAGATCTTGGTCAAATAAAATATTTAGTTCTTGATTTATCTCTTTAAAATCTTTTGATTCTAAAGAGTCTTATTCCTAATCCTATATTTTAGGCGTTTCTTTTTTTATTACAAGTTTTTCTTGCTTATTGTTGTTATCTAATTGGCTATAGCTTTTGGTTGGTTATATGTTAATTGTTGTTGGTGTAAATTCACCTAATGGTTGTTTAGTTGCTTATTGATTGTTTGTACATATTATTTCTACTTTATTTGTGCTTGTAGTAATCAACAATCAAAATATACAGCATGAAATTATGAAGTTATGAAGTTAGAAGAAATTTTAAAGATTATCAAATGAACATGTGCTGTGCATTAATTTAATTAATTTTGTAATTAAAAATCATCGATAAATGTAGTATTCAGAAGATTATGTAAGCAATAAAAAAAATATATATCATAAAATTTAAATAAAGATATAAATATTTGAAAAGATATCTTAATGGATTTCTTTATCAAAGATTGTTGAGTAACTTTCTACTAAAAAACATACAATAGATTTGTTTTTGTATTGTATTAAATAATGAATTACATAATAATAATTACATAATCACTTAATATTTTTTGTGATTATAGTCACAATAATCATGGTTTGTACATTATAAATTTACCATTCATCTAATGGTTTTTTTGTATGCATACAAGTTTGTACTAAAGTATGTATATACATTTATTGATATTTTGGTTGAAAATCTTGATTTCAACATAAGCAGCAGTAAAACCAATAAAAATAAAAAAGAGGAGTAAATTGAATAGGTTTGTGACAAGTATTGCAAATTGTCTATGCTCATGTACTATTGAAAAATAATTTTAGTATATTTCTATACGATGTCTTGTACCCACAACTAAACCCAACTAAACCAGATAACGATGGACACAGGATGAACAACGAGGATGAAAATATATTCTGTTCGCAGGTCACAGAGACCCAGAAAAAGTTTCAGGGAGCTTTAAAGGTCGCTGGCAGAGACACTGCACCCGCAACATGCAGACGCCAAATCCAGCCACACACACCGACTGACAGTTGCCGTCTTCTGGTTTTCACGCCACGTCCCACGGTCGGGAGTGAACTCCCCTTTCTCTCCCATTCTAGCTGCGCCTGCACCAGAGAGAGAGAGAGAGAGAGAGAGATATAGAGTGAGCACCGTCGTCCTCGTTCAACGCCTGCTGTTTTTGTCGCGCTGTTGCAAGGGTGGGGTCGACTCTGGCAGCAGGTACATCACCCTTCATGCCTTTTCGTGCCGCTCCTCGCTTGAAAACACTACTGACTTTACCCACGTCACTTGCTTTTTGTTCAATGATTTTCCATTTGGTTAAGTGGGTCGTGTTGGAGTGGTGTTGTTTGTTTGATTGTTTCCGAAGTGCACTAGTCGATGCTGCTAATGGTCCATGAGAGCTTCCTTACAGTTTTTACCACCTTGGAGTATGTTTTCTTCAGGATCTCCTTGAAGTAGCCCTCGTAACCCTCCAGTTTTCCAGGTGATGGACTCGGTTTGCCATGTTTTGAGGCTCGGTGGGAGTTGTACGCGGCTAGCCATGGCAACATAGACTCTTTTGCCTGGTTAGTACTGTTCTGCAAATCTTAATTCCAGACTGAAGAGATTAAGGCTTTTGTGGTAGAGTGTTTTTTTTTTTTTTTTTTTTTTTTTTTTTTCACTTGCGAATAGTTAAACCGGCACGTAATGTGGGTTGTGATTGGAGTCTGATTTGAGCTTGGAGAGGTTGGTTGTCTCCGTTTCTTGTGCATGCTCAATCTCGCTTCAGAGTTCGTTATGAAAACTTTCTGTGAAAGGGATCCGTGCCAACTCTCCTTACAGTTCATTTACTCGTACAACTATGGCGATGGACAGGCTTATGACGTGTTCGTGGTATGGTAAGTCGTGGGTGGTCTCGCAAGCTACCTCGTTAGCTAAAGAGTTTCACCAGAATAGCCAAGGGTGATCGGGCTTTTCATTTCTGGATGAATGCTTTGTGTAGTAAGTCACAAAGCCTTTAGGAACAAGAGTGGTTTGTAGTGCACATATTCACCATTGCCCAATGTAAGCTGGGTCGAATATGACAATGCAGCGGAGGTTAATGCAACAGAATTGTGGAGAAGCTGTTTGCCAATCTTCTTCTGGAGTGTGAGCGTGTAAGACAGTTTTACCGGAAGAAAGTATCGTGAGGTCGAGAAGGGATGGCGATGGCTACTGTGATGGGGTGGATACCACGACTGGCAATTGGCGACGTAGCGAATGTGGGTCAATTGGCAGGCATCAATGCAGTGCAGCTAATAGCCATAATAGTCCAGGCAGCAAACAATGCTCGTATGCACAAAAAGAACTGCAGGCAATTCGCTCACCACCTGAAGCTGATCAGCAACCTTTTGGAGCAGCTCAACATGTCGGACCTCAAGGATCGACCTGAGACGCGAGAGCCACTGGAGCTTTTCGAAGAATCGCTCCGGAAAGCTGTTGTTCTTGTGGAAAATTGTCGTAACAAGAGCTACTTGTATCTCGTGGCCATGGGTTGGATGTATGTCAACAAGTTTCGCGATTACCAGGACGAAATCGACAAGTACCTTCGGCTCATTCCTCTCATCTCCCTCGTCGAAGACAGCCGGGTATGTATCGTTCTTCCATCGAACAACGCGAAAGTTTAGGTGTCGGCGTTTTCTTGTTACTCTGATTCGTTGGGCGCACATGGCAAACGAAACCAGCACAAGTATTGCAGGAAATTCTTAAGGTGGACTGTGTTTTTTAATTAGACTTCTCAGTCCGACATGCGAAACAATGTCGACAATTCTTACAGTTAGGTCTTGGACTATGAGGACGATAGTACATCTTCACCACATTGCTCGCCACATCTGCAAATTTAGTGAGTGAATTGACGACACTCCTTTTGGAGGAACGCGAATAATTGCTTTTAATATCGAAACAATCATGACGAAGTGCCACCCCGAACACACAGTTATTGGAGCGTGGGTTTTGCAGAAGCATTTGAAAGCCATAGAAAAGGACAGAAAGCCATACACACTCGAAGTGGACGAAGTGAAGGTGCAGGAGTCACTTTTGAAACGGGACCGTTCCAAGAGTGATTCAAACCGGCTGTCTCGCCAGCTTTCGAAGCGCTATCCAGGTGTGCCCCTCACTGAAGCGCTGAGGAATGAGAACGAGATGTTGCGGCAAGAGCTCCAGCGCATACAGGTTAGGACTTGTCCTAATCTCATCTTCCTCCACTAATAGTTCATTAAATTTACATACGTATACCGAGTCTGACGCATCTCGCATTGGTAATAAGTCAGCGCTCCTGAACATCTGTTGTGGCTGAATGGATTAGGCATGTATGGAACACGAGCACGCGCTTGTGATCGAGCAGCTCATTGAGTTCACCGAGAACGAACCTGCAAAATTGGAGAAGGCAGCCTCCAAAAGATTTTTTTAAGGAGACAGCAGCGAAGAGAAAATTCCACTGCAACCTGTTGATACAATATGATTATTTGCGGGGCAGCAAAAGCTACTTTTGGTTTTAATCACCGGAAGCACTCTAATCGGAACTACATATCATTTTTTAAGATAAAATTTTCTGGAGGCAATCAAGTAGAGATGACTCATTTTCTTCATTAGAAGTCATTATTTGTTGCCAGAATTTTTTGCAAGTTTGAAGACTCGGCGTAGCTGTTTGTGGAGCAGCCATGTGTGGAGGCTCAGCGGTGTAGATTATCATGTCACAAAGCTTCCGTGGCACACATTTATGTTGGCGCTATGCCTTGCTAACATGGAAGACTATGTATTGTATCAAGAATCAATTCGAGGAAAGTAAAAAAAGTAAGTACTTCCAATCAACGGGCCCATTTGAACTTTATTGCATTTATAGATAACATTACAATAATACCATTGACTTCAAACAGAGACCTACACTATGATGCACTCCTTAGAACGACCAAAATAATAAGACATTGAAAATTTTATTACGTAATCAAGATTAGTGAACGTAGCAACCATGATATGAAGGAGCATAACTATGTGAACAAAACAATTTGCTTGGCGTCTCTAACTTGCTTCACACTTGATTGCAATCACAGTGAACATCAAATTTTAAATGAACACAGTAATTGTGCATGGGATTGGTTTGAGGTCCTTCAAAGTTGTCCAATTAAGAATTAACCATCAATGAATGACTAGTAAATACTAGTAGCCTGTACTTACCAGTTATCCTTGGTGGAATGATCTAAAATCAAAACCCACCCATATTATACATGTGATAAGTGGAATTCTAGCACAATGAAAACTCAGAGGCGCATGACAGTACTCGTGTCCTATTTAGGGAGTAGATAGGGTCCATCTCCTCAGCAGAAGAGTGTTTGGCTACTAACCTTTAACGGGTACTAAATTCCTTTCGGTTGCAGTTATCTCCTTCATCACTCTCTTTTAGAAAACCTTAATATTCTTGACGAAGGTGAAGGCAGACCACACTTAAGAAAATGACCACAACAAGAATGGATTAGTAGAAACCTGGGCGAACAGAGGAAAATGATGTGCCTCGTCAATATATAATAGTACAAAAATAAGATTCGAAGTGATTCCCATTGATTGACTCGTGCGACTGTACATCCAGCTGCAAGTTGCGATATCTACTTAGAAACTCACAAGTTGGAAATCTGCACATAACTAGGTGAATCATATCTTGTGATTTCATTCTACAGTAGTAGCTCTTGTAAGGAAATAAATGCCTTCTGCAGCTGTCCAGAGATTATCTGCGTTCTTCTTCCCCATGCCGCACACCTGCACATTATTGCCACCCGTGTAGAGTGAGCACAACTTGAAAGAAAAACACTATATCATGCTTGGGTACGTGATAAACACATCAAATATTATTATGCTACCATAAACCACAACCAATCACACATACAAGCTTGCATGATGATCCCTATTTAAACACAAACTTATACTGCTCAGAAAATTACAAAAGCTCCAAAGACGTAAGTGTTACAGAAAGTTCCTCCTCGATAAACAAAATTGTGAACAGTACCTCTTGTTGACCTGAAACAATCCGGCTATATTTTTTGTCATGACTGTGAAGGTAACCATTGGTGTCAACATGTCGAAGCCGCACTTTCTGATCTTGCATCCACACCTTGCCCTTGCCCTCTATCTCCAGCCTGGCGTACCAATTGTGACAGGATTCTAGTCAAACACCGTTTCACGAAGGTATAAACAGAACTAATCCCTGAATGGAATATTTATATATGTGCACACATACACACACACACACACACACATATATATATATATATATATATATATATATATATATGACCAATAGGAAGATCGAGCGAGCGAAGACGCACCTCCAATAATCGCCAGTATCAGATTGATCATCTCCTCCGAAAGCGCTAACCTGAATGCCAAATAATGAATTGTAATCCATCAGCAAAACCTTGCAAAATAATTGCACAAACCTGCATCAGAATGCAACAAGAAACACAAACCCAAGAATGATAATTCTGTCACATGCGTCACATTCGCAAAGCTACTCTCTTCACCAATCTGCACATACTACTGTCAAAATACTTAACAAATGAGCTTCCCATCAGCATGATCCGTCAATGGAACCACTCTGACAACAAATATCCATCAAAACTGATAGTTCCGACGAGGCATTCATACCTCAAGGTTGCCAGAAATGGGAGAGGGATGGAGATGACTGTGAAGCCATTTGCGGGTTCGCATATGCTGAAGACGAACTATAGAGCCATTTGGAATGACATCGCCCTGTTCAATACTCTCGTCGTCTGAAGAGGGTTTTACAGCCTGTTACATTCTCGAAAATACGTGCTGGCTTAGAACCAAAACTGTAATTATGTCAATTAAGAGACTGATATGTCGAGTGCGGTCAAGTCCAGACACCTTACAATTGGATGGAAATCAGTTATAAGCAATTCTAAACATGGTTAATACACTCTCCTAGCACGTAAATATTACATATGCATATGCGGTCACCAGTAGATACCTCCACTACTTAGAAACACCCATTATCCATGCCACAAGTGCACGTCTCCGAACTGTTCTAGACTTAGGATGACCACAAAAGAAATTGAACTGCCACTATAGTACAACTTTCAAAGAGTTGATCAGACAGCGAAAGAAAATCGATGCATTACGCAATTGAGAAAGTTTTGACGAGCTAAAATTTTAGCATGGCAGCAAACGTGAACATCTAGCAACAACTACAACATTAGCCAATGCTCAATTGAATTACGGGTCATTTTCTTGTCTTGTAGTCTCCAAAATACATACTGCGCTCTCAAAACGTTGTTGTGGAAGAAAGAAGCAACATGTGAGCAAGAGGATGCATTGTCACTCACCCAATAGCTGTTACCGTCTTCAACGCCGGGGAAGGCAGTCACAGATTGCTGTCCACTGCCAGAACCGTAGGGTACTTCATGCGAATGTAACCGAAACTTGGTACGATCATGCTGTAGCTTTATCATACTTCCATACGTCACCTGAAAAATGACACACACATCCCACCATAGCCATCGCACTCGTCAAAGAAGCTAAGGCATATCGAATAAAAACATCCACTTCTACATGTAAAATTGTACTCACACACGCCTTTATCCACTTCGTCACTGAAAACTTACGTAGGTAATGAATCAACAACAGATTTACCACACCCCCTGTAGCACGCTAAGCGCCCACCTACTTTCGGCGTTAACAAGTATCTACCAAAGTCGCAAAATGGAACAGTCAGCAACTGCAGTTTTCATATTTCGCAAACATATTAACAGGCGATTTATGTTCGTCACAAGTTGGCGTGCACAAAAGAAAGTTATAAGGACTGCAATCAGGTCATGCAAATGGATAGGTTATACTCTAGTTTTTATAAGACCGCCAAATAACAACGCCCCCTGGAATTTGACATCCCCGTGTGTGTTAATGAACCAGAATCGGGAATGCTGATCGAGTACTGAAAAGTAATAACTAAATGCTGCAAGTCATTCCCTCAGCTGCAGTGATCATAAAGCAGCACGTAGTGAAATGACCAGATTGGAATAGAGCAAGACAGTTTCCATTTCAATTCCTCGCACCTCTTTACCGTTAGAAGCACCTTCGACGGATGGAGAAAACGAGGGATGAAGAAGAGCCAGCAATACAACTAATGCAAGGGATATCAGCGCCATAGCCACGCACAGTTGAAGAAACCCCGCACTCTGGAAGCACCCACTCTCCGATTTCGATGACCTTGGCCCAGTGTTGTTCCCGTACCGCCGAGATGCCCTTGCTTCCGCCAACTTCTTCAGCAAAATTTCATTCTCAACATCAGAATTACGTGCTCCTATAGTGCCGCCAGTGGTTCGAAAATGAAGGCCGGCTGGATTTTTTGATGACACTTCCGGAGGCAATGCACTCCGGGGCGATGAAGGGGCCAGTTCTGTAGCCCTTTTAGCGGCTGTAGAAGACAGTTCACCGTCAGAAGTCTGCAACGCAATCCCGGCAAGGTTATTAGACTGTTCGAACGCACAAAATTAGGTCTAGAGCCATAAGTAAGCATTTCGGGTAAGAAAGTGGGCAGTTGTTGGGTTTGCCGTGAACGACGAACAGAGAGACATTACAGATGTTGATTGATGTTGAGCACAACGTCCGTAGAAGAGTAAGTTCTCATTACGTTCCTGAAGCTTGGGGACATGCAAAACAGAATCACTTCAACGACATCAAAAAGCACCGTATCCGAAAAACCTAGAAAGTTACACAGTAATCATCTCACCATCGCCACTTCATGCCCAAAACCGACCAACGCAACTCAAACCCTACAGATCGCGAGCTGCAGGATGGACCCGCACCTTCACCAAATTCTCCAACCCTAGACCCGAATAGGCTACCGACCCACTTCCCTGCACTACAACCTAACGCCCCAAATCTTCCACAACCCAATTTATTGACAGACAACACCAACCCACTCACCAAGATAGTTCAATGAATCCTCCCTTGAAGCCCCTCGAAACTACTACTTCGGTTTTCAAGCCTGATATTACCAACTCAGTCTGTCGGCAATCTACGATATACAATTGTTTCATGGTCAACGGCAGCTCAGTCAAACCCTTCAACATTTACAATTCAAAAGCTCTTTCTAGAAGCTGCCATGGCAATGGCCCAGCCTCGTTTATCACGCAGCCCCCTACCAACTCGTAATATGACTGCTCCTATTGAGAATTTTACGAACGATTCGCTTTATAGACACGCATGGAAGAAAGCTGGTCATGTGAACTACTCGCAATTCCAAAGGGCTTTGGTTATCTCCAGTGTTCAGGGGTAGGCTTCATATGGATGACGAAGCAGACACTGAAGGTTGATTGGGGGCCTGCTTAATGAACAATTTGGTATGAAATTTGCGCGCAATCAGGTTAAAATCCAGAGCATGCCAATTGGAGGAGATTTTGATGAGGCTGTTAGTTGAGGCGACATTGATTTTTACGTTCAAGTGTGGGAAAGGATTGATGGAGAGATTCTTGGAGAAGGAAGAAATGGTAGTAGAAGGACTTGAGTCGAACAGGAGACCACGGTAGCCTATCACAGGCGTCAGGATTACGTGCAAATTTCAAAACAAATTGTGGTTTATGCAACAACCAGCCAAACGAAGGATTGCTCACATTCAAGGAATCGAATCAATACCTCAAACTTTGGTTACAGGCCTTACATGGGATTGCAGAAGGGCAAGATTGTTCTATTTTCGCTCATTAAAATGCTCCATTACGAGGTGGATGTAATGAACATGCACAGAACACTGCCAGTTCTTACCCTTTCAAGACCGCCTGTGAGTGATGTTCGTCAAGATGAGAATCATCTTCAATACTATTTAATCGATAGATGCTTTTAAATTCGCAATGACATGTTTCGCCGGGGAGTTGATGTTTTTTCCACTGACATCCTCGTCAGATGAGAAAGCTTCAGAAGTAATAGAAGACTACCATTCCCTTAAACAGGTCACAGCATTGAGCCTCTTGACTGGAATCTTGTTAACCTTCAAGCCCAACTGCACTTCCATCTTCCTCGAAGTTCACACTATCACTGGGCAGTATCAAGTATGCCCATGAAGCAAGCGACTATGCCATCGAAAATTTCAAAGCATCAATGAGACTGACTTGAACTCACAGCACATCTTAAGAGCAAGATCAGAATGGCTTTCAAACGCCTTGGAGACATTGTTTATATTTTGATTTAGCCTTTGTCCTGTCTCTCCGAGTAGAAGTTACGTTTGCCTCAACAGGTCTATACAAATGGTAGAGAGGCATCCGCAAGTATCGAAGTCTTCTGAGGTCTTTGCATTGCCTCAGGAATTCATGGTAGCTTTCATTAGGCTGCTGCACCATTTACTTTTATTTAGGAGTCGGGGGTGTTTTTCAGGTTACACAACAAAAGATCATACTGCTAAACGAGTTCCATTGTAATCTGCCATGATGTTGTATTAGAAAGAGACACTAGGAGCACACATTGAGCGCAAGAATATGTGTATGTGCAGATATATATATTCGTACACAGAACGACCGAATATCTCGAGTAGGAGACTTTCCAAGGAGAAACAACCTCGGCTAACTTCGAAGGCTCGCAATTCTTAACAATGACACAGCTGTTTAGTATCAGTGTTACATCTTTCTGGCAGTATCAATGAATTGCTCGTGTAGCAAAATATCAAAAGCCCAATTTAGCTTCAGACAAGAGTATCAATCCAATCAAGACATACAAAAAAAACACCAAAGAATGTACGTGCACCGCACTTACGGATCATAAAACTATTTCAGGAAAAGAATCGTCCATTAGGTGAGGAGGCTCACCAGGAAGTCACCGTGTCCACGCAACGGTACCGAGAAGGGGACGCACAAGCACAGGATAAACGCCTCTGCATCCACCACAGAAAGTAGGGAATGGGTCCTGCAGTACTGAGCAAGTCACAGTTAGGAAGACAACAAACACAACCAATCTCAGGACGTCTGCACAGGAAGAATTGGCGGGGCATGGCAAAAGGGGAAACCAATATACAATCTGCTGAGGAGCATCTCCTGTAATTCAGGCTGGATCTCAATTAGACTCTCAGAACAGACCCAAAGCAAAGCAACCTACTCTACATGTGCTGCACTCACGAACACCATGCGTGCGTCGTTGCTATCATCCAAATCCATCGGACACTCATGAATAACACCACAATTGTCGACTGCGATAAGCTTCATCTCCGTATCAATAACAGGCTTCGCACGTAGTACAGCAGTTCAGCCATATAGAAAGCGAAGAGCAGACCATTTCAAAGCACATGTATCAGACATCGAGTAATCACCATAGATATGAGCAGTTGCTGTTTCCCATCGACCAAGTTTCATAAATGATCTCACATCACCCCCCCCCTCCTCAATAAATAGCCATCTGCACCACTCCAACTCCACCACTGCAGCTCTCCATTAATCATCCCCATGTCATAAACCACCACGCTACACCTGCAATTTCCAGCTCGTGTAACCTTGCCTAAAACAACCCCTCCACACATGCCATCTTGAAAAGCGCAATCCTCGCAAGCAACCAACCACGTTCACGGTTTGTGATGTCACGCCTCGCCACCCCTTGCAAGCTGACGATGAAAGCTAGTGTGCGCTGCGCGCGTGAAGGAGAGTAACACCATGTGACACTGAGACGCACGATTAGACGCGGCATTAACTCGGCTCCATATGAGAGACAAGGCGCATTGAATCCACCAGTACACAACTGATCCGTCGGCAGGGTCGCAGGGGCTGCACAATGGACGGCAGCAAATGGAAGCCCTTACCACGACACCCTCCATCCTGTCCCCCCATGAAGCTTCAATGCCGCGCACCGAGACCCTCGCACACAGCTATTGGCTTCGGTATGCCACCACCCCTTGCACCGATCTCACCGACACCGCATCATCTTCATCCAACGACACCGCAAAGGTCACACCTTTAGGGGAAACAACCCCTGTAACTTTCTATGGGGATGCATCCTAATTGGATGTCTCGCCCATAAATAAGAAGATCCTGCAATAAAACGAGACATGTGTGTGTACAAGCTGCTCTTTCAGATCTCGAGGTTGCCGAGGAGAATCGACGCAAACCATCACTCAAGTTTGAGCTCTTCATTCCTGCACTGATGGTCCAAACTTCAAATAGAACACAATCACGAGATTAATTCTGTGTTCTTAAGAGAATGTTCTTTGAAACTTGCATGGCGCTGACTAGATCATGTGTGGAAATCCAACAGCAATGCAGGTTTTTAGGGCTGGGTTTTGGAGTTCAGGTGTAGCATTGGCATTTATTTTGATGAAAAGATATGTGAGGAAAGGGATTTTTGCGAAAGTGAAAAAAATATAAACAAAATGGTAACGTGGATTTTGAAATATATTGTTGGAGGGTCGCACAGTTGTAGGCAATTGTTTTTTATTAGTATTTATTTTTTACGTATCTTGGAATTGGAAGTTGTGAATGGATAGAGCTCTAGTATGACATTTTTATTGGCTTTAGAATCATTGGAAACGTTCGAATGTTTACTTTTATTACATTATACTCTACTGTATGAAAAAAAATGTGTACTATGCATAATTTGATTCTCACTTTTTATATTTTCTTTTCATGTAGTGCTTTGGGACATGGAAATCACCTTCAATGTTCTTGCTTTGATACAGAAAAACAGAACAGAAGTTAAAGCAATTGTTTGTTGTACACTAGAATCAACTATACTCTTAAAAGTAAACACCACCGTACCATCTTCAAATACATAACATTCTTATTTTATGAAACAAGACAAACAAATATCTAAAAGCTGACGAAAGCCCGAAACATTCAAGTATACAGAATTTAGAAGAGGGTCGATAGCATAATAATCAACTACTTGACTCCCGCAGAAGATAAAGGGTATTGAATGGTGTGAACAGTTAGGACATACTGACACAAAACCCTAATTCTTAAAGAGACAGGACTAACGAAAACAAAAAAAGGTGGGTCATCTTGCAGCAGAGAAGGAGAGTAGAGGATACCAGTTCGCTCTCATTAAAAATATAATAAAAATCCCATTTATTGATACATTCCTTGTTGACCACTTCTTTCCAAAGACTTCGCAATGTCCATGAAGAAATTAGGTCATACACTGTTTGCAAGGGACAAGTAAAACTCTACCATAAACTGGGTATGTGAGTTTACCACAAACTGGATGTGACAGAATCCTCCTCCCGCTGCAAAGGGGGCACCAAGTGTCATATCAAAGCGCCACAAACCACAAGCTGGGATTGCTTTACCTTTTTTGAAAAGAAAAAACTATCCTTTAAGGGTTTGTGTGGATTGGGGTTGTCTTCGTCCCCACCATCACAGAGCCAGGCAAAAGGTTATTTTGAATTGTCCTTCGAGCAGAAGCTTTTTTATCAGGATATGGGGTGGTTGCAAAATGGGCAAAAAAAAGAGAGCAACAGAAGAGAGAGCTTTCATCAGTAACCATTTGTACTCACTACCGACAAGCGGCTTGGGGACTACCACGTTCATCCAACAAGTTCCCCACGTTCGCTCCAACTTTCATCCACATATCATCCAAAGGATGAGTCCCATATTCTTGAACAAACATCCCTCTAACCCCGAATAATGGAATTGACTTTATGTGCAAACCCTAATTTTGACAATGGGGAACGGATATCATCCAAATTGGGTATCTTAATATGTCAGTTCATCTAGATGATAAATCTAGGACTTTCGCTTCCGTTCATCCTCCCCCTCTTTGTGGTTGGTGCTGTCCGTCCTCCCTTTTACCTTCTGGAATCCGATCTCCTAAAAAAATGGATGTGGACATGTAATGGGCCAAAATGGAATGGAACCCCTAGAAAAAGATAAAAATAAAAATAAAATAAATAAAGGTGGGACCCAGGTTCATAAAGTAATGTACTTCTTCTCACTATTACACCTCCACAAGGGCATGACGGGGATCACGGAACCTTCCGAGCTTTTCTCAGACGGATGAATGAATGATAACACGATATGAATGATATTAGTGGATGAACAAACGTATATTTGAATATATAGATGAACTAATGAATGAATGATTCCTCCGTCCCCCCCTTCCAGAACGCTGTTCCGTGTAACGAGGAAGAGAATCAGAACGACACGTGCACTAAGGAAGGGTGACGGGTCCCTCCGCGGTGACAAGTTCCATCCTTAATACCAAAACGAGGTCCTAAAACCGAGCCTAAGCTTCTTCTTCTTCTACCATGCGCCGTTGGGCAGAGAGAGAGAGAGAGAGCGAAAGAAAGCAATCGTCGTCGACATCGACGAAAGCCCACAGATGATGATGATACAAGCAAGCAAGCGCCCGCCAATCGAATCTTACAGCAGCAATCTCTTACCATTAAGTTCCATCCGTATTTATGCGGTGAAGAGTGGCGTATTTAGTATGAGTAATCAATGAGGTGGAGCGAGGTCCGATTGGAGGGGGAGGGATGAAGTCGAACGAAGGAGGAGGAGACGAAGAAGAAAGTAGAAAGACGAAGTAAACTAGGGGGCGGAGGTGCCACCACAAGCACGCAGCAAGCACACAGGCCCAGATCCAGAAGAAGCTGAGCACCACCATCGGGCAACGCGTCAGATACTTACCAGGAATAGGATATCGCAGAATGGATGAAGAAGAAGCACCAAATGGGGGGCTTGTGGTGGGTCGCACCCGAAGCTTCCAATCCTAAACAACCGAACTGGGACCCTGTCCCATGCGAGGCAGCAGCTGCAACGAAAATTATCGCCGATAATGTCAATATGCACCATGAAGTGATATATTTGGCTTGCCTCATCCCAATCACTGGCTACTTTGGTTTGCGCTGTGCAAAAAGTGGCACCACTTTTTATATTTCAAATCTCCGTATGCTCATGGCATTTCCTGTATGAGCGGCGCTATCCGGGGATTACTGGAGAGTGCAGTGGACCTCTTCTTCTTCATCATCTTCTGCTTGAGCCTGAATGGATCTCCCTCGTCATTCGACTGGGGAGAATCGTGCTAATAGTGAGCGGCAGACATGGGAAACGCGGGGTGGTGAAAACCCGAGCTGTGACTGCAGGTGGCGCTAGAGTAATTGAAGTGAATTGCGACTCAAGTGATGGTTGAGGTGAATGTTCTGGGTGAGTGGACACCGCGCAGCTGCAGTCGGGGCAGTGTTGACCTTGGTTACTACTGTGTTCGCAGACAGCACCAGAAGTGATGGATCCTGGTGTGGACCAGCATTCAGTGGGAGGGAGTTTTGGCTTCCCATTCACCATCGTCGATCCCACAAGACCGCAGTGAAAAAGTACTAGACAGATGATCGATCGATCTACCCCGTCACTGTGTGGAATCGATTTCCCCAACAGTGAAAGATTTCTTATTCAATTCCTGCTTTTTCGAGTTCCCTGCAGTTTTCCCCACTCCAACTTCGTCATCGGCCGCCCCCTTAATAGAGCGTGGGACCTCTTGCTTTTCTCGAAAGACGCGTTTCATCCACCTGTCGTGAGAGGAGGCATGATGGCTGAGAGTCTAGGTAGAATCTTTCGAGGATGAAGAGAGGCGGGCCACACCACCTGGCGATTCCAGCACCAGTGACCTGCGGCACTGCGGCGCAGCCATGGGAGATGAAATCGATGCATTTCCCCGTTTTGTTTTTTCCCTCTTGTCGCGGCGGAACCCATTTTCCCAGGACATGGAGCTTCGAAGCTACTTCAAATTTAGTGTGGATCAAGCACGGAACAACATTTTCGCTTTCTCGCTCTCACAACTTCTTCTTCTCCATCTTCTTCCTCCGCGATGGCTCGACCGATCCATGGCTTGCGAAAACGTGCACTGACATCGAATTCGTCTTGGGCGTTGCGAAAACCCTAAAACTGGTGTCTTGCAAACCCATGTAATCGATTGGATCCATAACAAAATTGGGCTTGATGAGGATTGTCGTAGACACTAACACGGATATATTTATACTTAAAAGCAGTGGTTTTTTACGACACTGATATTACCATGAAAAGTTCAGCTCATTTTAAAATGATTTCTGCAATTACTAGATGTTGATGGATTTTTTAGCAACAGCTTTTCATTGCTTTGTAAAAAAACAATGTTTATTTATTTATTTATTAAGATGCATTTCTGTGGTTGAGCATGCTTGAAATCATGAAAGTCTAAAAGAGAAGTGCAAATAAATAAACAAACAAACAAAGATAAATATGGCACAATTATTGTATGTACAAGTTTCAATACCATTCATTTTGTTTTGTTTTCTTTTTCTTTCTACATAAATGGTTGTACAGGTTGTACACTTGTTGTTGAATAATTTCAAAATGGTTCATTTTCTTATTATTTTTTTAAAAAATAAAACAAAATGTTTAGATCCTACAAAAGACAGCATGAACAATAATGCAAGAATGCAATAATTTGACTCATTAAATCATGACATTCAATTGCAATCTAATACAGCAAAAAGTATTATATTTAGTACATTCAAAGGTAAATCACACAAAATGATTGTAACAAATTAAAAACACATATATGGACATATATCTTGAAAACAATTTAAATTATGATAACCATTATATATGGTACAATTTTTTGATTAGTTGAAAGCAACTACTTAAAAATCATTTTGTAAGGAAGGTATGCAACCATTCATATTTATTTCGAATTATAAATAAATTTAAAAACAAATAAATAAATAACATCCAACATGTTTTTATTTTTGTTGTAACAAACTTATTAAATATATGAACACTGAATGAATGTTTAAGAACATGTAATTTATTGGGTTGGACATGAATAACGCAGAATAATAATGATATTTCAAATTCTACTTCATGATATCTATTTGATGGATAGCATAAAAAAATAATAAACTAAACGATATACATACCCATATCTTTTCCATTTCAAGAGATTGGGTATCATATACACATTTGCCAGACATAGCTTAATGTAATTTCAAATACAGGAAATGGACACACAAATACTCTATTGAACTTTTGAAACATTTTAAGGCCACACATGTACAGATCACTTGCAGATAAAAATTAACAAATTTTTATAATCGTAAATTAAAATACAGAATTACACTAATGGATTTTAATTGTAAATAAATTGTCTTATTAACATCAAAATCATTTTTTATAAAATAAAACATTTACAAAATCACAACATAACATTTCATTCTTTTGAATATTATGTAACATGTTAATTAAATCATTATAACACAAACTCATTGATGAGTTAACTTGAATGAAAAAACAAACTAATCTCACATGTTTTCATATTATTCAAATAAGGTTACTTTTGAATAAAGTTATTTTCATTTGTAACTTTATAAACTACATAACATAAACATTCTCACAACGGTAAAGTAGTATTAAATGTATTTTTTGTTACTAAAATACATATACATATATATGCATGATTCAAATGAAAATTGCAAATATATATATATATATATATATATATATATATACTGTACTTTAATTGGAACTGGCAGTAAATTCCAATGTAGCTCAATTCATTGAATCAAAAAAGTGCTTCAAAAGGTGTAAATAAAAATATAAACAGTCTAATTATAATTAATTGTATGTTACTTCTATTAGTCATAATAAGTTCACTTCAAGCCTTTGACGAATTAAAAACAAAATTGTTTACATTTTATAAATTTATTAAGAGTAGAGCTAAATATTTATGTATGTTCCATACCCTAAACTTATGTTTCTATTTGATTGTTTTTGTACGTACTCACACATTAAATTACTAATTATAAATGAAGAGATACTTTATGTTGATCAATGAAAGTAAAAAAAAAAAAAAAAAAAAAAAATTAAATCACCTTTTATTGTTTTCACATAAAAACTAGAATTGCATTTTGTAAATATTAAGAATTCATAAAAGAAACAAGAAAAATATTAATTCAAATTTTGAGAATTATGAGTCCGTAAAGATTTTTTTCATAATTATAAAATTGGTTTGGGGCTATTTTACAATTACTTGATTATTTTTGTGATTATAACTGTTTTATGATTATGAACTTTTGTTATTGTGCAAAAAATAACAAAAAAACATTCTAATTGAAAGCATGTGTTATATTACATATTATATGGAATAATACACAAAAAATAAAAAATCAAATATAGATTACTTGTCAATTTACTTGTAATTATAAAGATCCAATATAAGTTTTACTTCACAAATATTAGTTGTATACGACTAGATATTTTGATATATATAAAAAAATACACATTATTTTTATATTATAGAAGAAAAATGAATACAAATAAATATGTGAATATATAACATTGATACTATTATGCATTGTTTTTTAAGATTTTGGAATAAATCTTTATGGATTTATTAATAGTTTTATGAAATTGAAAAAAGAGTTTATGATACATTCTCAAAATTCAATACTAAATATTTGATTAAATAATTTTTGTGAATGATTTTTATTTACATATAAACCAAGATTTGTATATTTAATACAATGTACTTTATCAATATAAAAAACTCGATTTTGCACAAAATAAAATAAAATACTTTTGCATTGAATTATGATATTAATTTCTTAATAGCTTTTCTAATAACCTCCTAAACTATAAATATTATGGATATATACATTTACATATATGTAGACATAAATTATTATAAATTTAAAAGAATAAAGAAAAGAAAGTATGGCAAATATATTATAACTTTTGACATACTTTACTGTTTATTGAAACGCGTTTCTCATTTTAAACATGTATTAAGCATGTCAATTATTTGGTTAGAAAATGCTTTGCTTGGGAGTCTAGAATAATTTAGATAAATTTTATTTTTAATGATATTTAGGTAATTTTATGAAAATAAACATTACAAAATATGGTTCTATGAAAGTCTGATGAGATCATATTTTCTTTAAAAGCTTCATCATATTACACTTTAAAGCAAATGATTTAGTTTGATTTCATAAACAACATAGAAAATATCTATTGGTTATTTTTATTTAATTATCTAAAATCTTCAACACATTATAAAAAAATGAATAAGAATAAAATTATCTAAATATTAAATGGTGTAGTTAATTGGTCTGTTCAAATATCTTTTAACTGCTTATTACTTTAACTTTCTATTGAGCATACTATTTGTTTTTCAATAAATTTACTTGAAAGTTGAGGAGATTATGCAGATTTTCAACCATTGGTGTCTTGGCATAGCAACTTGGCTACATTGTTACATTTAAATATTTTGATCCTTTCATATTACTATACAGTACAAATTCTATCAAATTTGAGACTTCAAAATATTCCAAAAGATTTAAGTAGAAACATGCCTGAATCCGAGAATTTTATCCTTTTAAAGATTTTAAAAAAGTCTTAAAAATTCTAAATTCAATTGTACCTTTGTTTAAGTATTTCTTTGGCTATAAATATTTAAGAAAAAAAAAAAAAAAAAAAACTAATTGAGAAAAAACCACGAGTCAAGTTGCATTATTTGTACAATAATATATGACAAACAGATACTTTAAGTATTTGGATTTTCTTGTATGCAATTCAAATGTGAATTTTTATTTTTAACCATAATACTCTCTGTGATAATTCTTGTTGGTAATAATAAAATTTAAAATTGAAATGGAAAACAAATCAGATATGAAAAAATTATCATTAACCAGGTGTTCGTTTCATGAACTGTTCCTAATCGTGCATACAGTAAAGTGCAATATTAGCAGATTTAAAATCTTGTAGCCAAGTATTACTCTCAGATTGTAATTAAGCCTAAATTAAGGAAAATACTTATTAATTTTGTATTATGCAGATACAGTGATTATTACATTTTTACAATGAAAATTTCAAAGTACTGCATAGTGATTGATTTCCTGATTTATAATTTTGATGATATTGAGAATGAACAAAATGAAGTACATTCTCATCCTCTTAAACTTTCTTCTCTCTCTATACATGTAAGAAATCTGAATTAATTCATGATTCAATAATTAAACTTCGCAGTTTCTGAGCTAATTTATAAAAAAAAATTACTATACCACTTTTGATTTTATTCAGTATAAAACAAGTTGAGTTACTTATAATTTGATTGGTCAAACCACGAAATTTGATAGTTATTTTGTTCAAAATCTTTTATTTTTTAGTAAAGAATACTTAATATTAAATGATAATGTTATTACGTTCCAAGTTATTACAAGATTTTATGTCTTAATTTTGAAAAATCAATCTTATCAAAATAATTCATATACTGTAAAAAGTTGTAAATAAAATAATTGAGTACTTTTCTTCAATTTAAATATTTTCTTGTTAGCTCTAGTTATTGACATGTATTAACATGTTTATATATAGATAGACAAGTTGTAGTGTATACTTCTATTCATTTTAAAAAATACACTATAAATGTTAATCTTTTAATAATCTATTTTTAAATTTAATTTAGTAGGCAATTTTATTAAAAAAATATAATCTATTTTTCATATTTTATATTCCATATAAAATATTAATAGTATTATAAATAAATAAATGATGAAAATACTTTAATTAACATATATATATATATATATATATATACATATTGTATATGTATCAATTTATTATTATTTTTAATCTTGTTAGGCAAAATATTGTGAATTAGAGTCTACAGTGTAAAATGTTATCACGATGAAACTATTCTAAAGATTATCAATCATTAAACATTCAATATCTTGTCTAAAAAAAAAAGATCCTTGTGTTGTTAAGTAATATACTTTTATACTTTCACAAATCTCAAATATAAACTTAATTTATCTTAGATTATAATAAAGATCTGAAATTGGAATGGAATTCATGTTATACAATTACATCCACACGTGTCTATTATTGTATTGCAATTTAATATGCAATTTGTGTAGGATTTGACAGTTATTAAATATATCTATATATTGATTTAATTATATTATAGGATAATCAATCTCTAGGTCACAATTTCCCCATCACTTTCTCATTGAGTAACATTTGATTATCTTGATTCAAATAAATAGTAAAAAAAAAACAAAAAACAAAATAGAAACCTGGATAGCAAAACCTACTCTGATTTTAAGGTCGTTATTCACGCATAGGAATCTCTAAACATTAAATCAAAATTCCAATTTCCTCCTTTAACTCCCCTATAAGAAAAGTGCGAATATTAAGAGATCGGACAAGATCCAGAAGCGGAAAACTTTCTTATTTAAAAGAAAAAAAAGAAAAAAGAAAATCAAACAAAAACCAAGAATTTGAATAAGAAGTCATGTATTGTATTATCCCAGAAGTTATATACTTTCAAAAGGAAGAAAAATGGGCCTTTCACACCCAATGAATGAATGAATGAATGAATGAATGAACGAACGGGGCCAAGGGGAGGAAAAATAATTCCAACAACTCCCCTCCTTATCTTTTTACTTTCTTGTAGGCGAAAAAGGAAAAAGGAAGGCTAGGGAAGGAAGGAAGGTGCAGGGAAGGAGGGCGGGAGCCGAGAATAATGGACCAGTGAAGACTTTTAGGAACACACAGCGAGACGGTCATGGGTGCACTCCCCCACTCATTGCACTTCGTATGGCAGGACATTGCCACCTGTAACCGTGCCTCGCCCCTGGTCCATACGAAACCGCGTCGATTACGAACGAACGAACGAACGAACGAACGAGGAGGGACGAACGAGGGAGGCAATCACCTCCAGCGAATTCACCTCCAGCGAATTCTTAGAACATATCCCCGCCTCTTGCCTGCCTGTCCGCTTCTGCTCCTGAACCATGGGGTTTCAACCCCGTATCCTTCGCCACGTCGTGCTCGCCCAACGCTGGACCGCGCGGTTGGGGAAACCGACTGCGCGGCCCCCGGTAAGGTGTTTCCCCGCCCCCCCGAGCGCGCCTGGTCGAGATCACGCGCGGGGTTCGCATCCCCCTCCACCGCCCCCGCCCGTTTTTCAGATTAGCCTTGGGCTGCCCCGTTTTTTTTTTTTTGCCCTGGTTTACCCCCCCCCCCCCCCCGCGACCCTTTACGGAGTGAGTGAGTGCCTATGTCAGAGTGCGCCTTCCTTCCTGCTCTTCGTCTTTGCTTTTTCGTCCCGTTTTCAACGTTTGGGTACCCGAATTGCGACTCCCTTGCCCCCTCGGTCTTGTCATTCCTGACCACAGTTTCCAGTGAATCGTGGAGGGGGGGGGGAGGGGGTGATTTTTGTGGAGCGATGACCCTGGTGCCATGACTTGGACTTGGATGAGCCCAACGAATGCATTGATTGTGGATTAGTGGCAGAAGAACTGGGTTGATATTGCTGCTTTCCTTGCTCGATGTCTTGCTAGGAAGAGTTTTGGTCGCTGGTGCGTGGTGAGGAGCTCTGTAGGACGTTTCAACTTCGGTTTTGAATGTGCGCTGGAGCGCGGGTTAAGAGACGCTTGAAGAGCAAACCCTGTCTTGGGGTGAGAGGAGAGATGGTTAGATCGACGCCAGGGTTTGATTGGAGGTGCAGGGAACGAGAGTAGGGAGGCGGGTGGAGTGACCGGGGAAGAACAAGCCCGTTGGAGCGGAGATGGTGCGAGTGTGGGAGATAGATCATGTGGATGCAGAGTGCACTACGATGCAGGGCAGGATATGGGCATGGACAAAAGTAGGTGCCACTGAGTTGTAGAGGTGCTGGCTGAGTGAGGAGGTTAGAAAATACTGGTGTTTGGAGAGGGAAGACTGTATGCAGCTTGGTGAGTTGGCGTCCCAACTTGATGGTTGACAAACGGAGAAACGGAGGATTCTTCTTGTTTTCACAGGTGAGCACTTCTGTCTTCCGGACTTTTCCACCTTTCTAGAGCATTGAGCCACAGCTTTCTGGCAAAGGTTGTTCGCAGACGCTACATTCGAAAGAGTGGCTGTATAACAGTATTTACCCGAAGAGGTGACACCCATACCCTATTTGAATCGGACGTCGACGACCTCCCAGCACTCGTGCAGGCGGGGACTGCCTTTCAATGCCTTCCACAGCCTGGGTTGTCACTTCTAGGTGTAGTCCCCAATCTGTTGAAGTTTGCTTTCGTGGCTTAATAGTTACCTTGCCAGCATCCTCTCGCAAGGTCTTGTTGACAGCAACTTGACAGGTTCTTCTGTCCCCACCCTGCACGTGAAAGATGCCGCCCGCCGATTCGCCCAAAATTTGTTGGACTTCCTCTCCTTGTGATGCGCTGGCACTGTCAGTGCATCCTGGTTTGGAAATAGTGCCTCGGGTGAAAGACAAAAAATGTTGAAATTGTTCCGCCGTTATTCTCCAGCATGGCCCTCGGTGAGTAACCTATTGATATGCATGCAGGGAAGGAGGGTGCGTCGCTTCAAAAGAATAACTCGGGAAGGTCACTGTTGGTCGATGTTTGGTTGGGTAGTTTGGAAACCCCAGTGTACGTGTGAAGAAGAAAACATTCCAGATTGGCCGCGCCTTGTGCAGCATGTAGAAAGCGGGTCCAATGTCTGTGCGGGGGCGCTTTGTTGCGTAGGATTAACGTGGTTGGAGAGGGCAGATGTATAGTCCTGGTAGGGGTGATGCCCGTGCAACTGCGCTGCCCAATGCTCGCGACTCATCGACTTCCATGCCTATCGATCACGCATCAGCGTGGCACAGAGAGCCTTACAACCGGGACGCGAGGTTAGATAGAGGTGACAGGGAGAGGATTATCGGAGGGAAGAGGGAGTGGAATTCGGACAGAGCTTCGTTTGGAGCGCCTTATCCCAGAGCCTTCGGTGGGCTGCACCCTGTGAACGGGAGCCTTGGACCTCCGAACAAGCGTCGGCTGAACGGTGAGTGGAAGCGATTAGGCACATGAAAACTTTGGTCGTACGGGAATGGGTGTGTCCCTTTGACCTGTTGGCTCGCGCAGGTAGCAGTGTTGGACTAGATCGGGTGTGCGAAGAAAGGGGTGTTGATTTGTATTCGGATGGTTGGGTTGTCCTTTGTTGCAGGGCGACACACCGGGTTTCACAACGAGGGCGGGCGGTATGTGTCACCAGGACATCGAGGGGAGCCGCCGTTCGGGTCCGTGGGCCCTGTGGAGAACGGGTTAGGACGGAAGTTTGACAGAGAGTCGTTCTATCCAGGATCAGGATGTCCTGTCGGGGGTTCGGGGTTCGGCAACGGTGTGGGCGTGGACCAGCGTGCGAAGGAATTGGAGGAGAGGCACAAGAAGGAACCTTTTCTGCTGTTGAGAGACGGCAGGGACGGCGGGAGCTGTGGCGGAATCGAGCATGGCGTGCGTTCGTTTCCTTCTCAAGCGGTGTGTGAGGCAGAGAAGAGTTGTTGGGAGAGGGAGAGATCGAAAGGAGCGGTGGGTAATGGTTGGGAGTCGTCGCAGAAATTGCAGCGAGATCTTCGTGAGAGGGTGGGCGGAAAGGCGGAGGGTTACAGCAGAAGGGAGGGGAAGTTGTCCCAGCACGACGGAGGAAGGGAGTGGTCGCAGGCGGACAAGGAGTTGGAGGGGCGTAGAGTGGACGGGTACGGGAGTAGCAGTCGGGACGGTTTGACGGGTGACGGCGTGGGTGGAATCAAGGAGGCAGTGGGTGGGTGTGAGTGGAGGCGGAAGGAGAGGTCGAGTTCCGTGAGTGCATCCCGAAGCGGTAGTTATGTTGCAAGTAGCGGGACCGCGAAGGGGCCCGTGGGGAGACCCCAGGCGCTGGACGTGTCCGGGAGCGCGTCGTCGCCACAGGTTTCACCCCATTCGACAGCTTCGCCAGGGGTGCAGGAAGCGAGTCGCGATGATGGGAGCCAACCGTCTCCGCCGAAACGGCCTCGGCTGGGGTGGGGTCAAGGACTTGCAAAGTACGAGAAGAAGAAGGTTGTGGAGACGGATGAGGTTGGGGTGTCCGCATCGGGAGGCAGCGTGTCGGGAAGGGAAAGATCGAGTGTAAGTGGCGCAACGACGGAAGTGGTGCAGACGCAGGAGTCGCAGGCAGCAGAGGAAAGCCCCGTGTCTGTTGTGTCGAATCTGAGCACATTGCCTCCGCTGACGCCGTCAGCATCACCTTCGCAGCAGGCAGCGGAAGGTACGTCGGAATGGATGGGATATGATGGATTGTGTTGAGCAGCTGGTGTTTATGGTGCAGGAGTGGGTGCGTGAATGGGTGATGGATGTGTGGATGGGATGGCAGCTTTTGCGGATGTGAGTTTTGGGGAAGGGGAGTCGAGCGGTGAGAGTGAGAAGCGAGGTGTGAGAGGGTGCAGAGGTGTTGACTTGTGAGTCGTGGCGAGTGGGTACGTGCAGTTGTGTCGAAGGCGATGGTGGAGTGTGACGGAGTGGAGCAAGAGGTAGTAGGCAAGGTATGCGAGAGAGTGGCAGCAGAAGCGGAGGCGGGCGGTTGGATTTCGAAGCCTGAGGGTGTGGTGGCGGATGATGTTGAGAAAAGAGGTAACATGCGTGCGGTGACAGAATGCGGGTTGGAAGAGAGCGTGAGACAAGGTGAATGCTGTGAGGCGTTGGGTTTGAAGGAGTCGATGGAGTGCCAAGCGTCACCGAAAGTGCGTGGGTCAGTTGAGCACTGCGGCGGTGTGGAGGTGGGTGGTGAGGTCGGTGTGAGTGACGCTGGTTCGAGATGGGCGAAGGAGGATATACTGCTGAGAGTGGAGAAAGTTGAGTATGAGATCGAGGAGGTCGAAAGGGAACTAGCGAAGGCGGAGAAGGTTGGGAGTGACAGGAGGGCAGCGGGTGAATGGGTTGCGGGAGTGGTTGGTGATGAGGGGAGTGCTGGCGTGGACGGTGTTGTGAAAGTGGAGGATGGAATTGATGACGGTGAAGCTATGGACGTGGATGCAGCAGAGGTCCATCCGGGAAGGGTTGACAGTCGAGAAAGTGGCGAGGCGATGCAGGTTGCGTGTTCTGGTCGGAATTGGTCAGGAGGAGAGGAATGCGGAAATGGGAGATGGGGAAGCGACGGAGCTGGAGCAGCCGGGAATGTTGGGGAGCGAGTCGGGGGCGGCGTGAGTGAGGGTGGACACGGAGGATCGGTGGACGATGGAGGAGTTCTGGAGGAAGGTGAGTTGGGTGAAGAGAAGCAAGAAGAGTGGACGTCGAAGCAGATGAGTGTGGGATTGGAGAGTGAGGGGAATCCGGCATACAGCCCTAGGGCAGAAACAGAGCCGGCACAGAGAGAGGAGATGGATGTGACAGCGGGTGTGTCAAAATGTGGGGTTGCAGAGAAGGAGGAGGCAGAGAGAAAGGTGATATCGTGGGATGTGGAGGTGGTTGCGAGAAGTTTGATGGAGGAGAATAAGAAGCGAGCCGAGCAGGCAAGGGAGACGTTTGTGCACCTTCTCAGGGAGGGTGTTGGCGTGGAAGGAACGTTGTACAGGTGTCCTGCGGAAGCAGGCGTATGGAAGGAGAACGTGGAGAGGCACTATCGGAACCAGGAGAGGATGTTGGAGAAGATGGGAGAGAGACGGCAGTCGTTGAGGTTTGCGGAGCAGGTATTAGCGATGAGGTTTCGAGCACTGAAAGAGGCGTGGAAGCAGGAGCAGGTGGGGATGAGGCAACAGCAGAGAGGAACAAAGCCCGTGCGCAGATGGGAGGTGGAGAAACGGAACGGGACTGCACTTCATTGCCATCGGTCATCTCTGCGGTTGAGGCCCGTACAAGCAGGTAGTTTGGTGATGTTGGAAGCAAGAGGAATGGTCGAGGCTTGTGGTTGAGCAATAGTTGAAACGAGGGGTGTGATGGGATGATGTGACGGGCAGTGTGGAGCGTGGGTGGCATGGAGGTGTGAGTGAGTGTTGGAATGTGTTGCAGAGGCGGTATGGATGATGGAAGGGTGAAGAGGTGACGGTAACATGGGAGGGAGGGAAAGGAATGAGAGGGTGGGTGTGTTGTGGGGAGGGAAGTGGGAGATGGTGAGAATTGACGGTGCGGTGGTTGTGGTGTCAGGTATGGAGAAAGTGGAAGCTGTGTCGGAGGAATGCATGAAGAAGGTGATGGCGAAGGCAGTGGTGGGGCCGGTGAGGGGCGTGTTGAAAATGCCGAGCATGATTGTGGGGCAGGAGAACAGACTGGCGCGGAGGTTTGAGAGCAAGAACGCGCTGGTGGAGGATCCTGTTGGGATGGAGAGGGAGCGAAAGAGCATGAATCCATGGTCTTGGGAAGAGAAGAGGGTATTTCTGGAGAAGTTCGCGGTGTACAACAAGAACTTCAGCAAGATCGCGTCGCATTTGGAGTTGAAAACGACGGCGGACTGTGTGGAGTTCTACTATCGGAACCAGAAGTCGGAGGATTTCGAGAGGATAAGGCGGAGGCAGCAGCTGAAGAAGAGACGGGATTATTCTCGAGTGGGTGGATCGTTTCTTTCGACGGGGCTGCAGACGAGCAGCCAGCGAAGAGAGGCAAATGGGCATGGGCGGACCGAAGGTGCGAACGTGCAGACAGTGGGAGCGGTGGTGGGAGTTTCTCACATCAGCGTAGGTACGAAGGCCGCGAGGAGCAGCATGCAGCAGAAGCCGGTGGAGCGTCAGCGGGTGAGCTCAGCGTTGGAACCCGGGAGCCTACCTGGAGCTGTTGAGATAGGGAAGGGTGTGAGCGGAAAGGAAAACAAGTGGTGTGGGACAGGTGGAGTTTCAGGCAGTGCAGCGGGGCGTGGTGGGATTTTTGGGATGGTATTATCGGGGGCGACGGTGTCTTGTGGTTTGAGCTCCGCCGTGGCAGGTGCTGTAAAGATCGGTCGGGAAAGAAGCTCGGTGAAGACGATGGTTGACGCAGGATTAGTAGTCGCTCGGTGCGGTCAGTACGAGCCGAACTGTTTTGGGGCAAAAGGGACCCGGAGTATACATCCTCCACTGGGTTTGGAGAATTTTGCCAAAGAGGAGGTTGGATTAAATTGCGGGCATTTTGATGCGCTTTTCCTATAGACTTGGGTAGCGATGTTGATGAATGAAGTTGGGAGCTATGGTTGTGGTGCAGGCATGCATGTTTGATTGGATTAAATGGGATGCTGATCGTCTGTTTTACTTGCCTCTTACTGTGTCGTATCGGTTTTCTGGGCACCTTGTTGGTGCGCACACACGTGTACTGGTGGTAGAAGCTGAAGGGTAGTTGTGGTTTGGTTGGATGTGTGCAGGGTGATGCGCAGTGGACAGACAGAGAAAGAGAGCTGTTTACGGAGGGCGTTAGGCTATTTGGGAAGGACTTCGAGAGGATTGCTGTGCATGTTGGATCGACAAAGAGTGTGGGTCAGTGCAAGGCATTTTTCTGCAAGACCCGTAAGCGTTTGGGGCTGGACAAGCTGGTGGAGAAGTATGAGGATTCATTGAAGGTAAGGTATGGAGGTGTTATGGCAGAGAGTCTCGAATGTGCAGATGTAGGGCGTGGAGAAGCTGCGGGCATGGTGGCGGAAGATTTGCGGACGTCAAGCTTGTTTGAGTGTTCGTGTCCCGGTATGGAAGTGGAAAGTCACGGAGACAAGGGAGATGAGAATGAGAAGTCAGTGGAAGCTGTGGTTCCTGTTGATGTACAGGAGATGGAAGCGGTGGAAGTTGAGGCAGTTGAGGGTGTGAGAGTAGAGGGGGTAGTAGTTGAGGTACAATCGGTGGAGTCTGAAGTCGTGCAGGATGTTGCAATTGCTGATGATGCCTTGGTGAATGGAGATGTGGAGCCTAGAGGTATTGAGGGTTTTGTAGCAGAGGACGATGCTTCCCAAGAGTTGATGTCTAAAGATGAAGCAATTGAAAAATCAGTGGAAGATACAGGATTCGAAATTGCCGTGGTGGTTGCAAGTGCGGCAGATGCTGATGTTGATAAAGCATCGTCGAATGCGTCGGTTGAGGTTACAGCCTTTAACGAAGCATTGAGGGATGAAACAGTGGAGGATGCTGCTGTTGAGCAAGTGGTGGTGAGTGAATGCTTGGATGCAGCAGCCGGGATACTTGAGAACGAGAATTTAGCAGTGGAGGGTTCGATTGTTCTGGAACAAGTAGGGACAGATGGTCATCCTGACGAGGGTAGAGGCGTCGGAGGTGTAGCCGTTGAGACCTCAAACGGTGTTTGTGAAGAAGGCAATGGTGATGCTGTTGGGGCTACATCTGTAGTGGTCATTTCGAAGGATGTGTTATTAGGGTCGTTTGTTTGTTTGAAAGAAGACACAGCCATTGTGGATAGCGCCTGTCCGGCAGATCGTGAACCAGTTGCAAGTACTCCTGCCGTGGATGCTAGTGGCGCAGAAGATCCTGTATGTGTGAGGACGGATGCAGTGAATGTACCTAATGATGCTTCTGTGGAAGCTGTGAAAGTGGATGCAGCTGAGGACGTTTTTACAGGCAATAAATCAACAGACTTGGCTGCAGGATGTACTATTCGGGAGGGGGACCCTGCTGATGTGGTTAAGGTTGCTGAAAGTGGTTTGGAGTCTTCGAAGTGTGTGGCTGCCGTTGGTGTTGATAAGGCTGTTTTTCCAGTAACCAAAATGAGTACCCAAGTAGCAGATGAGCCGGAAGCGAAGGCAAGTCCAAAGGTCGACGTTAAGTCTGAGCCTGGGTCACCTCAAGTGGCAACATCTGTTAGCACAGATTCGGCATCTTTTACATCTGCGGCAGCTGCTGTGAGCCATTCTGGTGAGCCTGTGTTTTCAACAACTTCGTCGATGCAAGGTCGGGAGAAGGTGGGAAGGGTTGGAGGCGGTGAAACCAAGTCGAGAAGGGAGCCGACTTCTTGGACTCAAGAGGAGAAAGAGAAGTTCGCGGACATTATACGGAACCATGGGAAGGATTGGACTAGGCTGCACGAATGTTTGCCCTCGAAGTCTTTAACGCAGATCAAAACATACTTTCAGAACTCGAAGGCAAAACTGGGTCTTCTGAATGCAGAGGGTGTGAATGTTCCGGGAGGCAGGGTAGCCGGAAGTCGGAAGAGGAAAGTTGATGAAGCAGAAAACGGCAGCAACAACGTGTCTTGTTTGAGCTCAGGGAATGAGTTGAAGGGAGGCGGTGTTTCTGCTAGCGACATGGATGGCGTTTGTCAGAATGTGAAAGCAGCGGTGGGCGGGGTTCCAAGCATGAACCCAAGCATGGGGATGGGTAGTGGTCCATCGGGGTTGGAGAGCATGCTGTACCCGTTTCTCGGTCAGCGAGTGGAAGATCAAATAGCGTTGCAGAATTTTGTGCGGATGTATAGTGCGAACGGGTTAGCACAGAATATTGCGGGTGGGGTAAACCCGTTTGTGCAGCAATATGGGTTTCCAATGTTTCCGAACGCAGGGCATCAAAGGGCAAGTCAGCTGAGTTTGCAGCAACAGCTTGCAGCATCTCTGGCTCAGAAGTCGGGTCAAGCGAAGGGGCTGCAGCAGCAGGAGTTGCAAGGTTTTGGAAGCGTTCAACAAAGCGGTCAAGCAAGTGTTCAGCAGAAAGTTGCACATCAATTGCAGAGCGCACAGGTGGGGAGAGGTGGTTGGTTGAGAAGCTGAGTAGTGATGGTCTTGGTGCTTAGTGACAGTGTACGGTTTTATAAACCGGGTAGTTGTGGACGGAGAGTTTGTGGTGTGCATGATTGTGACGATTGGTACGTGAGAGTGGAATGAGCAATGTGGCGATGCAGCAAATAGTCGTGATTTTGTGTGGGATAGCGAGGCTGTAGATTGGTGTTGATGGATTAGCCGTGATTTGCAGATGGTGCGAAATCAGCAGCTTCTGGCAAGTGTGATGCAGCATCAAGCGGCAGCACATCATCAGCAAAATCAGACGAGCAAGAGCGTTCCTCACCCTCTTCAGCCGCAGGTACAGCTAGTTTTCCAGCTTCAATGGTTGAGGGATTGTTTGTTTTGGAAGAGGAAATATAGTAGCTAAAAGGTTGTTCTGGCAGGTTGTGGTACCTCAACCTGGGGTTGCTGGTCAGCGGCAACAGCACCCGCAAGCTCAACAAGGTGGGAGTCAGCAGGAGCAAGGTAGTCCTGGTCACCCGATAGGTAATCCAAGTTTGGGGGTGGGCAATCCTACTCAAGCTTCGACCCAAACGAAGCAGTTGCAGCAGCCTCAAGTTTCATTGCACCAACAGCAGGTATGTTTAGTGTTGCTTGTGTTGGGTTTATTTGTTTGCTTTTTGGGAAACTTACAGTTGAGGATGTTGTTTTTTGTTTGACCTGGCTCTTTGATTTAAGCTGACGTCTTCTTTGTGGATTGTTTTCTTCCGTATCAGCAGACTCTCCAACAATTGCAACACCAACAGCATCAATTCCTGCTTCAGCAACATGATCATGATCATGTCCGAGCTCAATCACATCCTCAATCTCACTTTCACATTCAGCAGCCTCAAAATTCTCATGCTTCCATAGTTCAGCCGCTTATTGTCCAAAAGCCTAAAGGAGTCGTGCCCCTTCAGCCACAGGTGACAAAACCTCCGTTGGGAACTGTTGCACATCAGAGATGTATGCCTTATCGACACGATCAGCAGCAGCTTGGACCAGCTCTTTCATTGCTAAGTGGGAATGGAGATAGTGGCCTCTCAAATATCCGGGGAGAAATTTCGAACCAGCATGGAGAAATAGGAGATCACCGGAGTTGTATCAGCAATGGTACAGTCTCTAACTCCTAGTCTTTGGTATGAATGTGATACTAAGCGAAAACACTTATTCTTAGATATTGGTACTGTAAGATTTGCAAGGAAGATGATTGGTTATTCGATTGTCGTTTGATTGTCACTTGTCTTATGACTGAGTTGTGAGATGTGGATGTTCTCAGGAGGTGCATCTAAAGGATGTGATTTTTCAAGAGCTGATTTTCATCAACTCAGTGCCTCCGTGCAGAGGGTGAAACCTTCACATGCAGCAATCCCTCACAGACCAAGTCCGACTCCAGCAGCAGTGTCCGCGCAAGGTCGACCTGGTGATGTTAAATTATTTGGGCAGTCTCTTTTGTCTCAGCCGACTTCGTGTGCGGTATCCCAGAGTGCTGCACGTGAGTTAGTTTCTGCCGCTGACAGAGGTTCATTGCAGCAGTCTCCTGCTAGTACGGCGGCTTCATCTTCCTTGACGAGCATGCCTGTTTCAGCTGCATCAGCAACGAAATCGCATGGGAAAGAGTCTGCTTTTAGGGGTGTTTCTTTTATGCCTGATGGACTGCAAGGTGGGCGGTCGTCACGGGGTAATCAAGGAAGCTTGGAATTATGGAACAACATGAGTGATGTGCGTTCTCAGGCGGGTCCGGTGTCGAAGTCAATTGATGGAGACTCGGATATTCGTAGTATGCAGGAATGCCGCATGTCTCGAGAAGCTCAAGATGTAGAATCAGATCCGAGCACACTAAAATTGACACACAAGCTGCAGCATCTTGATCAGGCTCGTGGTGTTCAGGAGCATTCAGGAAGCGAGGGGTTTTCTCCAGTGGTTCATGGTGTGGGGAAGGCCCGAGCCTGTGCGAATGAGCATGGTGTGGGTGTGGGGTTTGCTGTTTCGTGTGGAGAGGTATCCAGGACCGACCCGGAGAGAAGAGGCGAGAGCATTGGAATCGATTTAGGCTGTAGTGAGCGAAGCTCCATTATGGCTAGTAGAAGTAATAGGGGTCAGGTGGAGTCGTTTGCAATGCAGGCAGCCGGGTTATTGGCCAATGGGCCACAAGTGCATCGGAACCTGATCGATTATCTGATGGCCATTACGGAATTGCACCAAACTCGCAGTTTATCATCTCACTCAAGCGTCGGTCAGCCACGGCTGGAGGACCATCAATGGGAAAGTCTAACACGGCATCCTACTAATGGTACGGCTGTCGATGCTTTGAAAGTCAATCCTACTTTGGGCCTAGGTAGCCCTATTGCTGCTCCGCAAACCCACTTGAGTGGGAACGATCTGTTCCAGCAGTGTGTGCGGGATAGCAGCATGTACTTTAGTCAACACTATCCAAGCCTTGCTGGCCATGGTGTTAGCTCCAGCGCATGGAATGGCGGAGCTGGGCTTGTTCATCCATCTGAAATGCAGCGCGTGCTTGTAAATCCTCCTCTTAGTTCCTTTCTTCCAGGTGTATTTTCCAGGGCTCCAGTTACAGAGGATCACTTGGGTTCCACCGAAACAAGGGATCCTGAAAGAGGCGGAGGTGGGATTTGTTAGTCGCCAACGTAGAGCTCTAGCACCCGAGAAAGTAGAGTTTATACTTTTTACCCCTCCCCTTTTTATTTGAACCTTGTTAAGCAGGACAGGGCACATGCCCTTTGTAATATTATCCGATGATTCCTTGATCGCATTATGCCCTTTGTTGCAATAGGTCTTCAGCAATGAGTTTACACTTCCGACATGCATTTTTGCAGTCTGCAATTGTGATGCCCATCTTAAATTTTTTTTTTGCACCTCGTTTCAAATTTAGTTTGGTCACGTGGAATGTCTGTTTTCAGGAATTCCCGTTTTTAATGGGTTAGTCCATTAGTCAAGAGCGGAGGCATTTATTCTTCACAGTCCCTGTTGTAATGCCCAAGAGGATGGGTAGTGGGAGTGTGAGCAATATTGTTTTGTTTTTTTTGTTTTTTTTGGTTCACTATTCTCTCTGACCACAAATTTGGTTGGGTATTGAATCAAATTTTCTGGTTGTTGCTTCCTTTGTATGGACTGTGTGTGGCTTTAAATTGTTATGCTTCAGGGTTGCAGCTATGCTTGGATCTTCCACACTTCGTAGTTTCATCATGGTCAATTATGGCGGTGTCCAATTGGGCTGTAGAACCAAAAACAGTAGATAGCCTTCGAAGAAGTAACAAATCTTGAAGTTACAGTTACATTAGATACATTTTTTCTAATGCTTATACCTTCTTTTGAACACAACAAAGGCTTTTTATTTTTAAATAAGCCAATCTTGTTGCTTATTGATTACATCTACTAGAGTCTATGAACATCCATCCCATATTCAATGTGTTTCTTTTTAAGCCATATAATATAGTAAATATCTTGGAAAAAAGACAAATGCCACCTTCTCTTATAGAAGTCAATAATAATGAAGAATTCAAGATAGAAGAAGTCTTAGATTCAAGACAATGCCAAAATAGATTAGAATATCTTATTCATTGGTGCAAATATGATATTAATGAACGCATATGAAAGCCAACAAAGAATTTTACAAATGCAACAAAGAAGGTTGAGGTTTTTCATTGACAACATCCATCAAAATTAAGATGAAGAACAGCAAATCTTTGCTATAAAAGAAACAAGATACATGGAAGATAGCATTTTACCTTCTATCATTGTTTGTAGCTTTTGTATATTTGTGAACCTAAGGAGATGGAAAATCAACAACCAATAGATTCAACTCCAGAGCTATTATTTGTTGAGTTATCAAACAAAACATTACAATTGTCACAACCTTCAAGCTAGCGTAATCAAGATGAAGATCTTCAAGAATAACATGTCTTTCCTCAAATAGGTGGCGAGATACAATATGTTTGGTATCATGACCTTGGAAGGGGATTCATGATGTTTGGTGATTTTATTAGAAGTAAGAACAACTCTCGGCCATATTTCAAATGTTTCATTTGAAGGAAGTTATGAAGGCTTCAACAACGATTAAATAATAGGGTGGTCTTTTTGCCATGATATATCAAGATATGTGGCAAATATAATTTGGTGCATCTAGGATTTTCTTAACGTATGATTACTCTTTATCAAACTTGTTTCTAGAAGGAGGGATAATATCATGGATATATGTATTTATTCTAATAATTATCTTTATGATTAAATAAAAATAGATAAAAGTAGATTAATTTTATAATATTTTTTGGAAGAGCTTCCTAGAAGCTTCATAGACATTGCTTTGGCTTTATATATGTTTGTAGTTAATTGGTAGGATAGAAATTTGGTCAATAAGTTTGCTACATGACACATGTATTAATAGCTTGTAGAACAAGCTAACTATATGATGCGCATATAGATAATTTGCTTTGTAATTTGAATCACATTTCTAGCAAAGTCAATACATATTGGAAGTCCTATAGAATATCACCATGTAGCTTCTAATTAAAGAGTCTATATGGATGCAAAAGTAAAGCCTTCTTCACTCTTGTCAATGCTTTTTTAGCCATTATTTTTGTTTCAAGACTTTCTAGTCTACTTGTCTTTGGCAATAGCTATTCTAGTCCAATATATTATCATCTTTGAATGATTTTCTAGTCTTTTTAAGTGGCACAAGAATATATTGAGTTTTATTTTTTAAAGATTCATGTCCTTGACAATACATTTTTTTTATAAGTGCTATAATGGCTCTTGATTGTCAAAGATAAGAATTTAAACAAGTGAAAAATAAATCAAAGAGAGATGAAAATTTAAAAATAAGAAAATAAGTATATTTAATAAGAAACTAGAATGGCTATTGCCAAAATTTAAAAAGTTAGAGTCTCTTGAAACTAGACTATAAGCAAGAAAGGACTTAACAAGATTGAAGAACACTTTACTCTTACCTCTATATATACTACCCATGTAAGGCTATTTAACAATGTTCTATAAGACCTCCAACATGTGTCCAATTTACAAGATACATGCCTTGACTTACAAGCTAAGTTTCCTATAAGTGCACCATATAATTAGCTTGTACCACAAACTACCAATACATGTGACATGTGGCTAATTTGTTGGCTATGTTTCTAACCTACTAATTATCTTTAGACATGTATTAAAGTGAAATCACATCTATTAAGCTTCTAAGAAGCTTTTTCAGAAGATATTGTCAAATTAATCTACATTTACTTACTTCTACATATTCATAATATCTAAATAACTATAGATATATCCATGATACTAGTTCTCTTATATTCTATTAACAATTTTAAAAATTTGTTTTTTAAAAATTACACTGTAGAATTCAAAAATATCCAATCAACCTAGGAACCTTATAAGGCATTCAAATCTTCCTCAATTCTTTTGTAACTCACTAATTAGTAAAAATAATTTTTATTAAAGACTTGAAAAATTGCTCTAAAAATTTCTAAAAAACTTGAAATAAGTTCTTAATAAATTCTAAAAATATTTGTAATTTTTCATAATTATAATATTAATTTAATTATTTTTTTCTTCTTATATTAGTAATATTTTTAGTAATAGAAGAAATTTAAATCAACTAAAAATCTTATTTTATAAATAAAATATTAAAAAATTATGATTTTTTTTTATACTTTTTTTACCTATTAAATAAAATTTATGGATTTTTTAATAGAAAGTAAATGTAGATAGAAGGCCAATTTAGAGATTGGTTTTAATAAATATAGAATAATTCTTACAATTAAAAAAAGTTATTGAACTAACTAAGATAATTGCTTCTAAGATTTTTTCATATTTTATTTTTATGATTTTATTTTATTTTATTTATTTTTTTTAATAAGATTCTTAAAATTTATTAACCCTTCCAACTAGAATCTCTAATCTTTAATATATTATTAGCTAAATAAATTAAAACTATATTTTAAACAATTCCACCAACTACAATCTATTAGTAGGACTAACAATTGCTAAGGAGTCCAAATTCAAATCCATGGCTCTCATTGATTCAAAGTTCAAAATCCAAGATGAAGGCTGATGGCCACTAAATGAGCCCTAGAAATTCTTTTTTGGCCAAAATACCTACACCATTGTGTTTAAAATATATTTTCCAACAAAAATTGACTATTCACATGCCTTAATCTATAGGAATTTGTAATACTTATGAAGTTTAAAAGTATGGCAATTTGGATTAAAATAAATTTATTCCTAAATTAATTCTAACTTACGTCTAACTTACATATGACATCCTAGTTAGAATAATTAGATTAAAAAATTTTAATAATAAAAGATAATATAAAAAATAAAATTTACTATAAAATCAATAAATGATCTATTAATTATCATTAAAAAATCTAATTAGGCTATTTGTATATCAAACATTAATAGTCACAAAACTCAATTATATATAACCATTGAAATTATGTATAATTTTTAGTGACAAATATACTGCGAAAAAAACTTATAAAGAAGTTAAACATCAAAGCCTTAGAATACAATATTATAGTCTGTAACATTGTACTTGAAGTGTATAGCATAGATAGTTGTTATTCTAAGATTTAGATTGGATTATTGAAGATGCAATAGATAATATATCAAAATGAACTTTTACATCTTCTTTAGATAGCACATTAAATATATCATCCACAAAGAAATTTTAAGAAGAAAAAAAGAATGACTTATTAGAAGAAAGTTGTCGCCATCTTTTTCAAATTAATTGCCAAATACTTTTGTTTTATAATGCACTCTCAAACCTTTAAATACAATTCAAAGATTACTGTGCAATTCTTCAAAATATTTATTTACAACATTGATAATATTACCCTTAGTATGGACAATATTTCAAAAGATAAAAGAGATCAATTCACCATTACATTTTTTCTTTTATAACTTTTATTTTAGCAATATTTAAAAAATTATTGACATATACTTAAAGAAAATTTCTTTAAAATGAAAAAAATCGATTATATTATCCTCTTTGTTTTGCATATTGGTTTTTGGTATTGTACATAAAACAACAAATAAAGAAGAATAGTGAATATAGAGGCAACACAATATATATATATATATATATATATATATATATATGAATTATAATATGAAGGAAAATATGAGATAAGTTTAAAGATGAAAAAAATATAATTATTTTTATTTTTTTCATCCATTAAAGATGGACAATGAATAAAAAATCAAAGAAGAAAAGAAGATAAAATAAAAATATTATATATACAAGATGAATGATTAAACTTGAAAAGATAATATGGTGAATTAAAAGAAATGATCTACATCAATGAATGCTATAAAAAGATTGGTTTTGAAAAATAGAAAAGTTGTTTGGTATAAGAGCCTGAAAGCCATTTTGATTTGTATAGTATATAATTTAGATAAGATGTTTTAAAAGTAAAAGCTAAATATAAAGATTAAATTTACCTTCCAGTCTATGTCATTATATAGTCTTAATTAAGAATTTTTTATAATTTGTGGTATAATATAAAAAATATAATAATAAAAAATAAATAAAGAAGAAAAAAAAGCTAAATAATAAAGACTATCAAATATATATTCAATTAAAAAATAGTCATTGTCTATTTTTAAGATTTTTATTTGATAGAATATAAATTATAAAAGTAAAAAATATATTTTTATGTAGTTTTTTTATTTACTTAAAAATATATAAAATCAAAAAAATTTATAAAATTATTATAGTTTAAAAATAAAAAATTAGGTGATTAGATTCTACCTTTAAAATAA